ACTTCCACACAGAAATTATCTGTACAGCTTCCTTTCGAGAATCCAAGTCTCAAAAACCTCAATCTCATGATTTAATCATGCTTAATGTGTATGCTTAGCCCAGTCAAAGGACAAAATTAGGTCATATGAAATCCTTAGGGTTGTTTTTTGTTTGGTTTTTTTTTTGACAAATGCATCTTATCTGTTTGTTACTATCCTACCTTTTTTTTTTTTTAATCAGGTAGAAACTTATAAGCAGACAGATGAAGTATACATACTTAAGTATTTTCCCAGAAATTAAGGTAATTTTTTTCTGAAGCCTTTCTATGACTGCTCAAAAACTGCTCCTCTAAGATTGTATTCAATAAATTTCACTGCAAAGCACCTGGAAATAAAGTGAGGCAATCTCAAATTATCTCACATAAAGAGTTTCTGGCTTTTGCTGCTACCCAGTTCCAGCAGTGTTGTTACTCCTCTGCTGCTTGCATCAACTATGCAGAGCTAATCTTTTTTGCATAGTATTGAAGAAGGGACAGCAAACCATTTCTGTCTTCACAACAAACTTCCATTTTTATTTCTACACTGGGTAGCAAAACAACTTTGCATTAGTTCATGCAGCAATGTATGAAGTAAGATATGCATGAAGTTTGATCTCATTTTTTCTCAAATATTCACAATTTTATTGCATTGAAAGGTTTTATTTGTTTGTTTAGTTTTGCTTTTATTCCTAATGAGAAAGAGTACCCATAAATGGGTCAGAAAAAAAAAATAGAAAAGCTCCTAGATGACCTGCCAGAATCTCAGGTCTCTGCTACTGCAGAGGTTGCACAGGCTGTTCACAACAGAAGATAAAGGTTAAAGTGAAATCAGATTGATGTACAAACCTGGACAAAGAAAACAGGCAGAAAGAGAAACCAAAGACAGTGTTGTGGGAAGCAGCTCAGCTATGACTGTGGGAAACAATCAATAACCCTGAGAAGGAGGAATTGCTATTGAAAAATATAACAGTAAAAACAACAACAACACACCACCTCAGGAACTGAGGAGTGCAGCAGTAACTGTCAATAATAGCTTGGTTTTGAAGCACCTCTCTTTTTGCTCTGTTTTAGAGGATATTGTCAGCACTTATTAAAAAAAATGCTGACAATATGTCAACATGATTTAAAAAAATATCCAAACAAATTCTTCTGCCCTCCTTTTCTACCAAATGATCATATAATAGTTTATATATTTCAGGTTTTGGTAAGCATTTCAGTAACAGATGATGGTGTTAGTAGAGTACTGCCACCTTCCTTGCTTTTCTGTCCAGGAAAGTCTTTTGATTTCATACTAGGAAATATATTTTAGACAAAACTTAAGTCTGGATGAGGTTTCCACAAGAAATTTCATATTGTAAGTTTGGATGGGGTTTCCATAAGAAATTTCACATTTCAAACACAATCTTTGGCACAAAGACTTAGAAAAAATGGAAGAAGGAAGGTGTATTTACAGTACTGTTTTATTTCACAAGACATATGTTTCTGCAGAAAATCTCTGCTTCACCATCACTGAACACACTTGGGTTTCCACAGAGGAGTGTACACACTCATGTTGTTCTTGGAAATAAGAACTAGTGGCTTTGAAGTCCTGGCACTGGACCAGAGGTGTTCCAAGGGAAAGTAGCTCCTGAGATCTGTGCAAGCCTGGATGTCAGGTTTGCAAATCAAGTGTTTTGCTTGGTAGGTCTGCTCCAATTGCACCACATTATGTACAAACATAAACACAGCCAGAATCTAGCTGAGAAACATTTTGTCTTCCTTCAAAATCTAAAATCACATTTACACAGTCTCTTTCTCTTTCCTTTGCAAGAAAACATTCTGTCATACCAAATGTTCCCACACTACCGATACTTACTCTTTCTGTTAGTTTTGTTCTCTCCAGAATGGTAAACCTCCTTCCTAATTAGGATCTCCTCACACCAAATACTTTCTTCCTTAGATTCAACCACACTTTCTGTCTCCCTCTTGTGGGAGAAGGACTAAAGTTTTACAGGAGAGGGCAGGACAATATTTGAACCAAATTGCCCTTTTCACACACAGTAATCCTGTTAGTTCACATTTCAGCACAGCTCTCAGCAGTGTGAGCACCAAGCTGTAACACACACAGCTCTGTGCCACAGCAGCCCCAGGCTAAGGTCAGGGCACAGGTGGGATAAATGGAAGAAGAACCCAGCAGAATTGTTACAACCACCCAGTTTGCACACCAGCCACTCCAGCCCGCACAGACGTATCCTCAGGGGCTGTGGCACAGAGCAGATGGCTTTCCATTCACATTTCCTGCTGTTCTCATCACATGGCTAGCCTTAAAAGGATTTATTGCTGAGTAACAAATGCACCTATTTTCCTGAATAAACTCCAAAACAAGCATGTTTTAATTTTCCTGCTAAACACAGCCCTACATTACAAATGTCAGGCTTTGTTATTTGCAAAGAAACAGAGAGCAAGAGGTGAAAGTGAGAATAACAAGGTATTGGAGAGATGCTAAGAGATTTCCTTCCATCAGTGCAAACCATGGATGGCAACAGGGATAAAACTACTCTTGACCTACTTTTGTCAGAAAATAAGAATGGAATTCTGCCACTTGACTGTACAGAGATGAGGTGCTGGAACAAGCACATAGGATGAGAAGCAATAATGCATAAGCCTGGTAACATCATCAGAACCAGGATTCAAAAAGACAATTATGCCTGAGGTGTCACAGGTAGGCACGACAGGGTAAGAGAGACAGCAGGTGATAATTTGACTTTGCTGAAATCAGTAGGATTTATGCATCAATCTGATTCAAGGTGTTGTGCTTCAGCATTTCCACAAAGTAAATCTCATGGACTAAAATGTATTGTTTGCTATTTTTATGACAGATCACCCACCCAACTTAGTATGGGAGACTTAAATACTTTGTATTATAAAGCTTCCATGCTAGTATTCAAAAGCTTATTTTGCAAATAAATTGAGGTCAAGCCCCTACAAACCATAAAATGTAGTACATGCTGAAACCTGAATATCATAGCATCTCCTGTGTCATACATATGCCTTGTAAAGTGAATTACAAATATTTTCAGAAATTACGTATCTGCTCTAAAAATGTCAGATCTTGCTGACACTAGAAAAAGCACAGGAAGAGTTATGGGAGCAATATGCCACAGATGAAAATTCTCCAATTAGAATGTTTTGATTAATGCTGCTGCATTCACTAATGAATGACAGGCAAAGTCACAAGGAATTTCAGCAGTCCTGTGTACTACAACCCCTGCATAAAGGAAGTCCCAAACATTCCTGGAGCTTTTCCCTGAGATTTACTAAAATGCTTCAGAAACCAATTGTATCTATAAAGCTGTAGAATTTACCTCAGATACTTGGTTATATAAAGTCATAAGAAATCATACCTCATATTTTCATATGAAAGATCAAGAAATCTTAAAAGTCTCAAAGTTATTAAACTCATTTTTCTTTCTGCAGAACATTGTGCAAGTAAGACAATCTTAAGAGCTAAAATGAAATGTTCAGCTTTAAACCAATGAAGCAAAAGTCTGAGGACAGGGACTACCTGGCAAAGCTGGATCATTATGTTACTCTGCCTACTGAGAAAAGCTTAATTAAAATGTGCCTGCAAAAACTCTCTATTACTTTTTATTTGAAAAGTAAATTATAAAACACCAGAAATCCATAAGTTACTTGTACCTTCCTGCCGCTCAGACAAACTCCATTTACACAAGACTTAACTCTGGATAAGAGATGAGCAGTGAGGAGTTTTTAGTTTATCTGCATTTCACAAGGTTAAATCCCCATAAGGGAATACCAATTTCATACTGTAGCTTTAGCAAGTCCACAACAGCATGCTTAACTATTTGAACTCCCTACACATTCTTCACTCTCACGCTAAAATTCACCTCAATTCATTAACAGCCAAGAATGATTTCTGTCACATCAGCTCTGAACCACTCCAGCTTGTTTGTAACAGATGTTATTACCAGTGAAAAAGAGCTCTACCTCCAAACTGTCCTCTCCCAGCAGTCAGCATGAAACACACAATGAATAAATATTATCTCTTCAGCCAACAATTTTATTTACCACTATTCTAAGCAGATTAAGAATGCCAAAAGTTGCTTACTTTTCAGACATATTCAATGCCACCTGATTTTATATCTATATCAGCTGCAACTCCTGCTTTTAATATCAACCACTCCTATTTACATGGCTAAACAGAAACAGACTGCTGCAGAGAAGGGAAGAAGGAAATAATATATTTTATGCATTTAGTACCTGGCCATCTGGTACCTCAGAATTCTGCTCAACTTCAAAACAGCAGGAAAATAAAATGGGGGAGCCAAAAGAGGCTTTGCTGAAGCAAAAATGTATTTATTTATATAAACAGCAATTGGCAGCTGATGCAGAGGATACATAAATCCAGTTGCTAATGCACAGGGTTGTGTGAATTGTAATGCCATAACTAAGCAGTAGCAAAGGAAATTAGAATGACATCTCTGTCCATGCCATCCCTATTTAAATTATTTTCCCCCCCACCCCCCCAATTTTCTCTTCTGTGTATCACTGGAAGAAGGGCGAGAAAACAGAACCCTTAAGGTGCTTCCCTTCACCTAGGGAAGAAAATAAAAAGAAATGCAGTAATGTTTAACAGCTTCAGTGTCCTCAACATTTGGTGGATGTCTCAGGAGAAACAGAGAGAGTAGGTGAAATTTCTCATTAGAAGACTACATGACTGCAGTAGTGAAGAGAGAGGGAGTCATTCTACTTTGACCAAAAGTCAAAGTCAGGTACAGATAAATAGGTTTATCTGTAGAGAGAGGTGGTGATTGCATCACAAAAAGAACTCAGATTGGAGAAGGCCCTTCACAGCTTTCAGCAAACTCCTGAACTTCTCTGAAGCTCTCTCTTTTTTGCCCCTTGAAGGATAAATGGGAGAAAAATGCATCAAACCGTGTTTGATATGAAGCCACAAGTTTCCTGATAGCTGCAAGGGAGTTATAATTATCTAATTTCCCTATATTAATGATTTTTAAATGAATTTAATTAATTACTTTTAAATTTGAATTTTTTCAGCTCTCACCTGCACTTGAACTGAAGATTTGTGATTCTTGCCCCACACACACACAAAAAAAAGCCAGTAAAAAAAACAGATGTCAAAATGGCAGAAACAGAGTGGCGATACTATACCTGGTTGGGGCAAAATGTATGAAGTAGTACAGGGTGATTCTGGAGATAAAGGTAAAATCTGTATAATGTAATCTAGATTGGATACTGGTTTTAATAAAAAAATTACTATTTTTTTATATTAATTCACCCAGAAGCCGTTTGAAATTTACATTTTTTTCCAGATATGCCAAAATATTTTGCTGCTCTCAAAACCAAGTCCTGTAATATTTCAAGATGAGAATCTCAGTTTTCACTGTCAAGTAAGTTCATACCTTACTCAGCTGTTCAGTAATTGTATGGAAAATGAAAATGCTCAGAGGAAGGCAAAGCTTCAGCATACAACCTTTTCCACCACAAAAAAATTTAATAAAAGATAAAAAAGATTTCTTAAAATTGCCTTAGTGTTTAACTCTAAGTTTATTGCAAATTGTAAAAACTTGACTAGATATAGTGAAATTACAATATTCAAGTATACCGTTAGACTGCAATACAGGTACCAAGCTTTGCCAATTCTGAGTGCAAAACAAAGCTAAATAAACACTGTCCTTGCAGTTTGCTTGCACTTGTAGGCATACACAGTTCACTTGGAATATATTTGTATGGATACATACACTACCAAACGGCATTTTATAGGTTTATAATGCTTTATAATCAATTACACCAAATAAAGGAAAAAAGTCAAGAACACTAATTACAAAGAAAAAGAGAACTGCCAAATGCTTGCTGGAAGCAGAATGCAGCAGGACACTTTGGGCTGGTTATTTATATAAAAACATGTGACAGCAATAGAGAAATACACTCAGCAGCTTCTTCTGGGAGAAAAGAAGGGCTTTTCAGGACCTGTCCTAGAAGTTATGGTGCAAAAGATGGCAAAATGGCAAAGGTCGTGATTTCTTCTTAAGAGAAATCCAGTGAAGCCTGGATTCCAAAAAGTCTCATTGTGCCTAGAGATGGTGGGTAGATAAATCACAAGATCTTCAAAATAAACCACTTCAGAAGCCAAGTTAGTAAGTAGGAATATAAAAATAGCAAGAACACGATGGCACAAAAATCAGAAAGATGGAAGTGTAGCATGTAACAAAGGAAGAGATAAAAAGAACATGTGATAAAGACACAGGAATAGTATGAAAACAGTCATAAAACAGATGGTTCAATCCTTCTCAGTTTTTCTTTCCATGGTTGCTAGATCACCTAAAGTTCCCTCAGAAACAAGTTCATATAAAACAGTAGTGAAAAGTGACAAGAGGTAATGGTTCTAAACTAAAAGAGGGCAGTTTTGGACTAGTCTAAGCTAGAATTTTTTTACAATAAGTGTGGTGAAACACTGGCATAGATTGCCCAGAGAAGTGGTGGATGCCCCATCCATAGAAAAATTCAAGGTCAGGTTGGATGGGGCTCTGAGCAATCTCATCTGATTGAAAATGTCTCTGCTCACAGAAGGGGGCTTGGACAAGACAAGTTTTAAAGGTCCCTTCCAGTTCAAACCATTACATGATGAAAATTACTGATGTAGACTTTGAAAATATATGTACAATTTTCTGGGTAGAAAAAATGGAAAAAAAAATCCTTCAGTTCATTAAAAATCAAGAGCCATCATAGTTATACACAGGAAAAATACATGGATTGTTTTTAAATGATTAGGCAATGCATAGATTTCTCTGGGACCTTTTGTATAAAAATATGTGCATTGAAAATAAGAATTGCCCGTTAGTCAGGGAAATTACAAATAGATGACCGTGAGAAAACACTCAAACTGCTTCAGCTTCCTTTTTCATTAGAAAGAAACCTGTAATCAGGCAATTAATTACTCTGCACTAGGAAAAAGAAGAAAACGAAAGCTAAAATTAATTAAGTGAGCATTTAACCATAGTCTACATTTTCAAATCACAGACCTGATGAAATTAATTTTTAGAAAGTAAACTAAAGGAAACTCAGAGCACTTAATACTTAAGAAGACTTGTGGGAAGGAAGTGTAGCTCAAGGAGGTTGGAAAAAGCAAATCAAAATACTTCTCTCTTCAGAAACAGAGAAAATTGAAAGTTTTGGGAAATATAAACTACTCAGTTTAAGCTGAGTCTCAGAAAAACACTGGAACAAATAAAAAGCATCCAGAAGACAGGACAAGTTGCATAAGTAACTTGAATTTTTTAATAACGATAGCTGAATCAAGATGATTTTCTCAAGGGCAGATAAGAGCCCTTGTGCAAAGGAACAAGTCAGAAGATGTCTTTTTTTCACCTTAGCAGGGCTTTTGGTACCATCTCACATGACACTCTCATTAGCAAGCCTAAATGAATCCTCTAAAATTGATAAAACTATTTTAAAAAACAAATTTAGACCTAGCAATGGATAAATGTCAAAATAGGATGGCAGAAAAGGCAGTATCACGGCAGGTTGAGAGGTGGGTCTGCCCTGGGTCTAGTAGTACTTATGGAGTAATTTCATTAATCATGTAGATGATGGAACCTAGTGAATGCTTATCAAATGTGACATTTCTCTGTACTCAATACAGGGCCTGCAGCTTCTTTCAAGTCCCTAGAAAACAAGATTAGGATCAAAATAATCTTTTCAAATTGGAAAAATGGCATAATATAAAGGACATGATTCAGTAGGGAGAACTTTGAGATGCTACGCCTGTACCTAGGTAGACAATCAGCTGTACAAGATACAGAATAGTCATCTTGAAGCTTCCTGATGAGAAATTTAGGAAATTTAATAGAGTACCTACATGAGACATTATTATCACACCTTTACAAAGCATAAAGTTTAGTAAAATAGTACTTGTCTTTTCTTATAAAAACATAGTTATGAGTCCTAATGTATTAAAATTTTCAAAATATTTAGAAATCCTTGGATGGAAAATAAAATGCAAGTTTATAATAACTCTGTATATTTTTTGTGAAAGATTTTTTTCTTTCACAACACAAAAATATCAGGTTCATGCGAGGCAGAGACTCATAGAATTATGTAAAACTATCAGTCAGGGATGAATCATCACCAAAACAAGGTCTGACAATCTCTTTTCACAAGTAGATGGAGGAGCTGCTAGTAGCCATCTGGAAGCCCCAATTTCAGATGCTCACTTGATAACTCAAATCAAGTACAAGACTCATTTTCCCACCTTTGGGGCAGCAATGCCATCCTCAGATCCATATTACCAACAGAGCATGAGCATACTTGCTTATCACAAGAAATGCTTCCATTTGGACAGCTGTAGCTTCAAAAACTTGAGCAAAACTCAAGAGACCAAAGATTTAAATAACCTGCCTCATAACAGATGAAGCAAAGTGGATCTCTCCTGTTATTACAATTATGCTTATAAATACATACCTATAGCTTCCATGAAATATCCCTTACCCGATTTATTTTCTCTGCAGTGAATTTTTATTCTGTAAAGTACTTAGTTATTACAGTTTTCAGATACCTGTGAATTAACAGTTTGGTTTTTACTCAGACCAAATGGAATGGCAAAAGTGGCAAAACCAGTACACATCATATATTTAGTTTCTACAGCCAGTGCACCCTTCCAGCTGCTTATCTATAAGATTACAACTTCCAGGATTCTTTACGAGAGAAAGGCTTTTGCAGAGAAAATATTTAGTCCTGTGGAGAAAAGATGACAAAATCTTTATAAATGTGCTACATTTTTTTAATCACACCAAAAAATAACATGTGCAAGCTTATGTCCAGGATTTTAAAAACTCCTTTTGAATATTTAATGATCATACATATACACTATGTCTCTAAACCTGTTCTAATTCCTGGCCTTTGCTGAGTTTTTATCCCCACACAGATATATTGGTATACACACACAGAGCAGAACCTGAAGCAGAGGCAAATGATGGATGGGCTGTGAGGCCACGTTGATTCCCTCTGCTGCAGTGCAAGTCAGAGTGAAGCACAGCATCCTTATTAAAGATGCTGTCCATTAACTTCTCCTTGCTCTACAAATCCTTAGTTATAGCATATTAGCAGTGTACGCCTGAGTGAGCACTGCTCTAATTTGAAACTGAAACAATGCTTGCATCCCACTGTGACCAATATTAATTAACATCTTTCTTCTGTTTCCCCTGAACTCTCCTCCTGACATTTCCAGGTAAAGTTAAATAAAAATATATGTCAATATGTAAAAGCTGGTTATTGGCAAATGTGTCATGTAATTGAAGTAGCAGATGTTGAATGTCAATTAAAATAGTTTCCCTTTGGAAAATAAGTGTGTTTATCTATAATATATCATGTTATGGTCTTTTTTAATAACAGTGATCATAGCAGGCAGTCTTTGCACATTTGACAAATTGATAATGTCACAAAAGATATAAGCTTCCTTAAGAAAGCTCTTAAGTAAGGTGAGAACTCACTTGTACATTTATTGATAAACCAGCTAAGTCCAGAAAAGGAATACACAGTTTAAAAAATTGCAAATTCAGGTGTTCCATTATTGTTCTGATGGCAACCAGATTAAGCACAATCTGACTGTGAGATGTAAAATTCAAATTATGTCAAATTAAATGTTTTCTAGAAATGCCTCATATTTGAGAGAATACATAAATTGGTCATGAAGTTTTTGTTCCTTTTTAATGAATTTTCTTTATTTTCATTTACCTGGATAAAAGATCTCAAAAATGTAAAAAGGCTGTACTGAAACACCTTTTAAAAATAGTTTTTCTGTCAGAAATATTATATTCCTATGTAGCATACAAAAAATACAAGTATATCAGTCAACAGTAGCAGCCACTTCTGGCTTTTTTTCTGCTGTCTGAAAATCAAGCCAGTATGATGTTTTAATGGAGCACCCTTCTTAGACAACAGGTTTTTTCTAATATAATTATCTAGTTAAAAATATGGAAGGAGTGCAAGAAAAAAACATAGGTTTTGATCACCTTTAACAGGAGGAACTCAATTTGTAATTTAACTGGCCCCCATGTAACTTAATATAACTTAGCAATATATTTTCAATTAACATGTAAGTACATTAAGCTCATGTAAAATTCAAAGAGCAAGAAAGTGAATTAAAACATAAATATAGTTCAAAATCTGGGAGACATTCCCATGGCAAGCAGAAACAGAGTCTTGTGTCTCACCTGCTATTTAGCAGAAGAATTCCTTACTATAATTTAGTAAACTAACAGATTTCCCTCATTTCTCGTGTAAGATACCTGCAAAAGGATGCAAATGTATTCCAGCCAGTGACACACATGGCTTGTCACTGCCAGCTGCAGGGTGCCACACCACCAGCTCCAGTTCCAGTGCTGGCTGAGATGACAACATCACCAAACTGCGGGTGGTCAATGCCACTGATCTCCCATTTCCAGGTGAATATCACAGCAGACTACTTACACTCAGCTTCCAAAGGGGCAAAGGATCACCTGCAAGCCCCAAGATTCAAGA